GTTCTATTGGTTGGCAACTATTGGGGGGCCCCCTGGAAATTACGCCCCTGAGCAAAGGGGCCTTCAAAGGTGTGCAAATGACCCATGCATATGTGCACTATAGTATGTATTTCAAACCTGTTGAATTACATGCTATAGAATTACAACTGATACAGATTTTTTTTTATTCAGTACTAATACCATAAAATATAATTTTTTATAATCCTTGTACATATATGTTTTTTCTTGATTTTAGATGTGCTAAATAATAAAATCCCCCTAAATCCATTTACATTGGAAAAATAGTCTTAAATGATTAAATTAGATGGGTTCGTTTTTTTTAGAACCACACAACTTCTTCAGGTTTTTGTCGCCCATGTGTCAACATCATTTGAAGCTTGTGTTAAACTCAAAGCGACTCAGTGTACAAACTGTTATGGAAATAGGATAAAATGGTTTTTTTCCTTATATTTTACATACACTGTGTTTGCAGTAAACACTAAATGTATTGAAAATGCACTTTCATTCTCCTAATAATTGTTTTTTTTATTGGAAAATTATTGCATTCACATTTGAACAAGCTTTCTGTGTGCAGAATTCCCATAGGCATTAAACTGCTGTGATAAGCTCTGGGATTGTTCTCAGCTATGTGATCTGCTAAATGCTTCAATTAGCAGATGATGGTTTTTCATGCCTTACGGAGTCATGTATTGTTACATAATGCAGTGCAAAGAAATAAAGTGTTCTCAGGTTATTGATTATAAAATATGTCTCTTTCATAGTTACTGAGCTCAGGCCCTGTACTGCTACTGTACAGGACGAACCTAGATAATGTAGAGCTACAAGGGTCATTAGCAAAGCTATGACTTTTATTGATTCTGCAATTATTTAGTGGCTGAAAATGTCAGCCAATTGGAAAAAGGGACAATTTATTGGCAGATCCTAGCAAATGAATTTCTGTTAAAAACAAGATTATTGACTGTGTTGTTAGACGGATTCAATGATTATGTAGTTGTTTGGTGAATATAAAAGGACTACAGTAATTAAAAAAAATCACTCAGTCATGTAATTTTGACATATTCGTGTAAAACTATCAAATCCAGTATATCCACTATGTTTAAATGCAGCTTTACCAGGGCAGGGGACAAAACAGGGCTGCTCCATCTCTTGTTGGATACGTTGCCTAAGTATGTCTCCACAAAGTTCCTCCTTCACTGGCTGACGAGGAGACTCGTGCCAGTTTCCCCAGTGGACAATGCATGATAGATTTCTTCTCCGAAGCCCCTCACCACATGCTGCGCCCTGCAGAGACACAATAAATCAACATTAATAAACATTTGCAAAGGTTTTCTTAATTTTATTTTAACCTATTTGTATATCGTTTTCTGTTGAAGCACTGCAGCAGGCTGCCGACAAGTCCAAATTGGAAAGCTGAATGTGAGATACTCCTTTAAAACTATGACAGAAGCAACAGCTACTGCAGCATATTCTTGAACTACACATATTAGATAAATGTGATGCTGAAAGTCTTCAGACCACAGGAAACACAAAAAGCTGTTAGGCAGTACAGTGCAAAGAACATCAACATATAGGCAGAAAAACCTGTCATACCGCTACTGTGCATGGGGACCAGTCACTCAGCACCCACATATAGCAAGGCCTTATGGGGCATGGTTTGGTCTGGATGAGCTGGTTGGGACAGGGGCGACCCTCCTCTTGAGCATCCTGAAGGATTCTCCGACTGCGCACAGACTGACCTACACAACACAAGGCAAACATGCAAATGTGACAATAAATCGAGCAGAGTGCATTTGCATTGGATGCCTGCCTTTTATTTCCTTTTTTCCATTAATTGCTAAAACACAGTAACAACACAGTGGGATTGATCCTCTTAGTTCAGCTCATACTCTCAATTGCTTTGAGAGAGACAAAAATGGATCACTACACAAACATAAGACTCCATAAAACAACTGTTAATACAATGAGTGGCTGAAATGAGAGATGGTGATTCATTTAGTAGTGAAAATAGGCTGTGCCTGCACTTTAGCTCACAAAATATTTTCCTCACGACAAAGAGGAATTAGTGTAACAGCACTATACATCTGTGTCACTGTGCCACTTTATGCTCAGATTTTGCAGTTTCCAACAAAAGTGCTTCATTCAAGTGAGCCATTAATAATGTGTGAAAGGAAAAGTTTGCTAAATGCCAGCAGGGAAAAAAGCAGCTTGTGCCTGGGTCCTGTAAGCCTCCATGAGCCATCCAGTTGGCAGAAGTTGTGCGTGCGCATGCCTGTGTATGTAATGCCAGGAGAGATGCCGAGCTCCAAGAGCCGCAGGAAGACGCAGCAAAAAGGACATCCGGCTCTGCCATCTCAAAAATCAAACCAAAAACATTAACGCTCCCATGGCATCCTGACAAAACAAGATCCTTGCGTCGTCTGACACAGATACGACACAAATACGACACAAATCCCTCATCGAGGCAGAGAAATGCATTTCACAATGTGTGAGAATGAAGTGATAGTAGCAGAAAGAGTCACAGCAATAGTGACTGAGCTGTGAAAGAAAGGGTTTCGAGTTTAAATCCCCAGATGAAAGCCTGGGCTAGTGTGAGCTCATTGGGATAAGGGGTTAACTGCAAGTAGAAAGTCAGCGAGTGACAAATTAAAATTAATAAACATAAGAAGAAGACAGTGCCGACTCTCTCTAATTAGCAGAATAACACGCATTCTCTTTGGGAGATTGACTTTGGGAAGCTGAAGCAACAACGTATGCATTTTGGTTTAATCATTTACTTTTGTATATTGCATGAGGTTACAACATGACTTGCACAAAGTGATACTAAGTGTGTCACTGGTTGGGGATTATCAGCTGCATGTTTGCACTCACGGAGCGGTATAGCTATATATTTTATTTAGGAACACTGAATCATTTATGGCGTCCACAAGTGTGAGCTATGGAGCTCACACTTATGGACACATCTATTGTTAAAACATAATGTCACAAAGGAAGTTTCCAGTCTTAATTAAAAAATAAATAAATAAATAAACTTGGTGCATAATATAAAACAAAGAGGAAAAAGTAATGTATACATTATTGAAAAAAAAAAACACAACCTGTGCACAGAGTTCCCCTGCATAATAAGGCATTGGATTACACATACGCGTAAATATTTTAATGCATTTAAATGTATTCATGCACTGTTCAACATCTTGGTGCATGCCTGAGTAGATGAAATAATGAGGCGCTGCATATGTAGTCCACCGTGTGTCTGTTTATCAGGTTGTTGTTCCCATGAATTTAAGTTAAGGTTTTTAGCTCATGACGTTTTTACCTTGACTCCCACAGCTGTGCGAGCATTCTGCCCACGGCGACCACTCAGAGAGCACACAGCTGACAGGACAGTTGACTACGCAGCTCTCTGTTAGAATCCACTTGTTGATCAAACCAAACTGTAGAAAACAAGAACAGATCTGAGAGGAGGGCTAGCTAATTATTTCCACTAACAAGAAAAGGGGGAGCGCACACATTTCCATATTTTAAATATGCTACAGTTCATTTCAGACAGTGGAAAAGCAGCAGCTGAAAATAAACCCTAACAAAAAACCTTCAGATGCTATTGAGCTGTTAATGTACATTATATTTAACACAGAGACAACATCATTGCTACATTCATCCCATTAAAATTGCATTAAGTGGATAGTGCAATATGATTCTGGATGTGCCAGAGATTACCCATACATTTGGAAAATGTTTGGTTTGCTTCACAAAAATGAGAAATCTTTTTACGTCTACTGTTATTCAATTACAGTAACGTAAGAGCGCCATTTGTCTTTGCACAAATAAAGTCAATAACATTAAGTTCTGTTTGGCTTAGTGGCAAAGTTGGTATGAAATCAGATACAACATTTTCACTTAATCAAATTGGGCAACTGAGCTTTCAATAATAAATAAGTAATGAGAACAGAAGCAAAGCTGCTGCACTGCAATAGCTGTCAATATTTCAGATTTTGCAAACTATAAGTTAATTTTGTGCATTTTTTAAAACTTGTATGGCTTTGGAATTTGACTTGCACCCAAAATATGTATATATGTGTGATGAAACTTTTCATTTTTACATTAAACATCTTTAATTGTCTACACAGCGATTACCTGCTCACACTTCTGCACCTCCATAACCTTGCCATCGCTGCGAATACAGTCCAGGAGACGAAAACGTGATCCCTGACCGCAGATGGCATTTTCACTCAGCTGGCATGTACTCCAGTCTAGACGCACACAGCAACATATCTTCATTAGTCTCACTGTCAAACCGTCTTTTATGTCAACGCTACCGGTCTACAACAACAGCAACATTCTGCACAAATCCCAACAAGCTCACACTCGGCTGTTTCTTTGTTTAGGAAACTCCATGAAATCAAGATTTCTTTGTCAAGAGAGACCTGAGACCATTGCACAACCACAAGACCACAATAATGAAAATGATTCACTCAGAACAACTATCCCAATCACCCAAACAACCAGACCAAATGAAGCAGTAACAAATATTGTACTCGGTAGTCTCTCATGGGGATGAGCGTCTCTAACTCAAAGCTGAGCTAACGTTTATTTCAGAAGTAGTGGTAATGAGGGGTACAGAACTGGGAACCAGTGTAACCATATTCAGTGGTGATGAGGATGGGGTATGATGGCAGTCTGGTGTACTGAAACCAAATGATTTGCTGGTAGACAGCATATCCACTGCGAAGCCAGCTCTGGCAATTTAGGTAAAGGCAAAAGATTCTGGCTATACTGGGAATAATTAACAATTAATAGTTGTATTAATTATTCACTATTAATGAATAATTAAATGAAATAATTAATAATTAATTCACTTTATTTCAATCCTGGAATCCATTCGGGCGAGTCTTACTGATAACTTCTTGCATACAGGCATGTGTGTGCCTATAAAGCTCAAAACCCACATGCAATGAATCTGTAACTGTCTTTTTGTTTATTATATTTCAGTTAACTAAAACATTTCAGTTGTTCTCTCTTTGAGTGTGTTATGCACCATCCATATTGGAAAAATGTAAAAAAAAAAAATCACTAAAAATGAAAAAAGGAGAAAACAGCTGTTCCAAAAGGAATCACAGCTATTTTTATGATAATACTTTTGTAGAGTTTGATAAATATTCTATATTGCTATTGCAATGATTACTGCTACTTCAATACAGGAGAAATCTGTGTCAAAAGGTCTAAATCTAGCTTTCTAGTATGGAAACTGTCTTTAGACTCGCTCGGTGCACTGAATAAGGAAGAGTTAGGGAGGTTTCACAACTTTATGTTATGTGGGTAGATTCTAGATCTGGCTGGTTATCATCTGACAGTAATCCACAGTCTCTATAAAAAAGTAGATCGTTCTATGGCTTAAAAATGAGCATGCTACCACACTTGCAGAAAGTATGTAAAAATAGCTAGCCTACTTTACTCCAACTAGTGCGTAGCCTTACCTTTAAGCTGAATGCACAGGTGTTTACCTGCTCCTTATGTGAGAATGACTAACACTAAATTACAATATATCTGTCTTCTGGCTTTATGCAAATGTTGAGAAATGTGTTTTATTGCTCTTTTTTCATCCCAGATGAAGCATCTTGCGATCTCCTTAATAAAACACTTTTATAAATGGGTTTTTTCATTGTTATAAAAACATTATTTTTAAAGCAGTTTTATAATAAATAATAACATTTTTTTATTAATATATTATTTAGCTGTAATACTGGCATTATAGTTGTTGGATAAAGGGACTTTGTTGTGTATCACTGTGTTACAAAATAACTAAAAATGACTTAATCTTGTCCCTTGCAGTATACCACGATAATGGATGCATTCTTATAGCAAGTAAACTTGACCTTTTGTTGGTTTTAGGTACGCACCCATCTTGTTTATGGGGCTAACAACAGGTTGTAATCATGTAACGTGAATTAGATCAGAAATGATGTGCAGATTGTCCTACCTGAGACTCTGTACTGGTAGGTGAAACATGTACTATTAAGAACACAGGACTCTGACTGGACCATCTCTGGACAGGGTGAGTTATCTGAAGCTGCGGGGCGCAGGATATGTCTGCTTCTGTTTCTTGATGTATCTTGGTCACATTGCTGCAGAATAACAACAAAAAAAGCAACAAAAAGGAAAAAAAGAGTGATGGGATGATCAGGCAGAAACAAAGCATCCTACAGCATCCGCTGTCTTTAGTGTTATGATCTACCAAGTTAAACATACTAATAGCTAGAAGTTATGAAATACATTGTTAATTTCAAAATATTTCAAATTTATTTGTGCCCCAACAGCATGCAGAAACTAATGATAAATACTTCTTGTCATTAGAAGTGACCTTTACGGCACTAATTTTATGTAGATTTCCAGTAGATTTCAAAGTTTAACGTAATACCATTCAATATCAGCCGACAGCTGTACATCTCCCTTATGAATCCAAAGTGCGTACTTTTTGTAGTTATTCTCAAGGACAAACTTGTTTTTTTTTTTTTTATTATTATAATCAGTAGCAAATAATCCAATAATTTATTCTCATAAAAAGAACATATTTTTGTTCATAACATGCTATGATAAACACATTTAATGAAAGAAAAGCAACCTGAATGAGCCAGCTCAAGGTGAAACCCTCGTTTTCTCTTGACATGAGTGTTATCAAATTACACAGCACAGAGCGTTTAGCGGCCTGATTTTCAGCACAATGTGTTAACCTTGGGCATAAGCTACCTAATAAAAGGTTTATGAGAATGAAAGCTGCAATTGTTCCTCTTCAATAGATCATTTCTATTGACATGATTATGGTTAATTGCTGTGAAAACATCAGTCTTATAAATAATAGAAACTATTTTGCAAATGGAAAACAAAACAAAACAAAATACTTAAATAACCCTTCATTTGTGTTGTGGTTTACAGATAGTGAAAACCTCTAAAAAACTGATGCAGATGCTAATACAGGTAAAAATTTTGATATCAAATCCTGATTTCTGTATCATTCTCTGTTTTCTCTGTTTTTTTTATTAGTATAAATATAAAGGTTTTTCTTACCCAACATCCAACTCGACTGAACAGTAACACTCGTCAGCAGTAATTGACACATGAAACACATTTGCTATATGGCAGATGCTCCCTTCACCGTGTTATAAATAATACATATAGAGACTGGGCATCTAAATAATCTTGCAAAGTCAGTAAGCTAGGAGAACTCATCGACTTTTATACCACACTGTTAAATAATCAACCTCTACACCACACAGTTAAAGACAAATGAAGACAATTATTGAAAAAACTGCAAGAGTACAACATTTACTAAATATCTACCAACAAGGAGCGTTGGCAAATCATTGGAGTCACAATACAGAGGAAGCGAAATCCATTAACAGAGGATTAAATGTGAACTGTCAGCTTGGTCTTTGGTTCAAATATTCTTCTAATAAAGGTCTTTGCATTGAGATGCATTTGTATCTCTGCACCTGATGCACCACAACACACACGTCAGTCACTGCTACCTCCTAATGAGAAGGTGGTGGTGTGTGAATCTCATGAATCAGCTGCAGTCATTGTAGCTTTAATGTGTTCAGGCTCACGATCACAAAGCCACATGCTTACATTTGTATGCTTCATACAGAGACTCAGAGATTAAGATTTCTCCTTCTTATTACAGCATCTCATTTACTATAAAATACACTGACTGTCCACTTCATTAGGTGCACCTTACTAGTACCAGGTTGAACCTGTTTTTGCCTTACGTCTTAATGGCACAACAAGATCCTGGAAACATTCCCCAGACAGTCTGATCTATATTGACTTGATTGCATCATAATGTTGATGTAAATCTGTCAGTTTGCCCAGAAAATATCCCCCATGCCATTACACCACCACTATGAGCCTAAACTGAGCCTAAACTAAACAGGATGCAGGTTGGGGCCCCGCTTTTATGTCGTTTAAGCCAAATTCTGACCATAACAGCAGAAATCAAGAATCATCAGATCAGACGTTACTATCTAAACGTGATGAGCCTGTGCAAATTTTAGACTCATTTTACTGGGCACTCAGTGTGGTCTTCTGTTGCTGTAGCCACTGTACGTCAAGTTTCAACATGGTGTATGTTCAGAGATGCTCTTCTTTAAGAGTTATGAATTATTTTGGCCCTGTGAACTGCTGCTCACTAGTTATTTTCTCTTCTTTTGGACCATTCTTTTTGAACCGTACAGATGACAGTGTGGGAAAATAAGTGAAATAAGCTAAAGCACAGCCCAACTAGGACCAGCAACCACTCGATAGTCTGTGAAATTTCTTCCCTTCTACAGTAGATATTCCATGATCACATCTATGTGAGAGTAGGGTTCAATAATGAGGCATATAGTGCTTACAAGTCACCAGCACACCTGCTCTGGCATTAACATCAGCACAGAAACTGTGTGCCAGGAGCTTCATGGCAGGTGTTTCCCTGTATTTTTACCCCCAATAATTTATGACGCACAAAACATTGCCTTGGAGAAGCAAAATTTCCACTTTGGCCAGTAATGCTGAAATAAAACCCTAGTTTCAAAAGAGCCTTAAAAACCTTCAAAGAAGTGTAATCAAAATCTACTAAAAACCATGCAGTGAAAATGATGTAGCAACTTGGTCATAATAGTAAAACCAATCTGGGCTTATTTCCACTGCTCTGCAATTTATGTCTTTTTAAAATAAACTTTGAGTTACAGTTCCATAAAAGTATTCGTTTAATCTAACTTAAACTAAAACAAGGCTGAGAAAAGGGAAGCATCAAACTGTTATTACCTAGTATGCTATCGTTTATCACTATGCTGCCTTTGTACCCCACACATCTCGTCACATACCTGTACATGCAGCACAATACCTTCATTCCAGCTGAGAGAGCAGGAATAACCTAAGGGTACAAAGCTTCTGCTAATTACAGTGGATGGGCATACTTTACATAAAATATCTCTGTTTGATCTAACATTATCACTCACAGAGGAGGTTTTCCTTTCACAGCATGAGGATGCAGAATCAGTGTCAAGCGTTATTTTCATCATCATCTCAAGTTGTTGAATTTTAGAGATTAACTTCAAGAAGCACAAAAATATTTGACCAAACTGCAGTGCAGTGGCAGTTCAAGGTTGACAGCAGAGACTGTAAATCAGCTGCATACCCCGGTGTGTATGAGGAGACTTGCTTCATCAATTCTTTACTTTATTACTACTTTTATATAGGACAGGATAATGTAATGCTCACATATTTGATTTAAAATGATTTAGATCAATTGTGTAGATAAAATGTTAAGCTTACCGTATGTTAACATTTTTATTTTATCCTATTTTTTCTCTGCATCAGTATATTTATGTATTACGTACCAGAAATATTCTTTCAAGTGGCTAAATTTCAGTTGAGTCAGTATTTGATTAAACAACAGATGCAAAAACAAACACCTACATCATGTGCAGAGCTTTCCTAGCTGTAAAAACAGGACTGTTTAATTAGCTCTCAGTTTGATGTGTTTTGCATTATTATTTCACCTACAGCATTACTGCAGTCCTTTAATGCTAAAGTGCTACTAAATACTGTAGACTGAAACACTGAATGAATCAATGTGTAGAGTAGACTCAGACTAATTAGCTCGTTTCACCTCTTCTGACTCTAATGTTCCAGTCCAATGAACTGTTGCGTTTGACAGGAAACCTATAACACAGCTAAGAGGCCATATGACCATTAGCCTGTGGCTACAAACACTCGGGGACATATGTCACGTAGTTGCAGCCTGAGGGCTAACCTTCATTATAGAACAGAGGCATATTAATAAAATTCAATTTATCCACTTTACCTTAAACTATGCAGACAATATTACAGAACAAGTACAGAACAGTGCTTCACTGTGAATATGAATATATATTTATATATATATTAAGCTATGCTGAAGTTAGATAAACACATGTAATGTGACATGTTACAAAAACACCTGGTTTCTAATGACACAAATAATTTTATGGAAGGCCATAAAGCTCATCTAAGCATTTGTGAGCCTGTTAACAGCAGATAGTTGATAGTTAAATGCAGAACTTAATGCACATACATGTTTTTTGCCCTTACTTTTTAGAAATAATAAAAGGCAATAATGAAATACGTTGTTTGATTAGCTGGGTATTTGTCCATTTTTACCTGCAGCTTATACTGTAAATGCTTCATATATATCTATATCTATATCTATATCTATATCTATATATATCTATATATCTATATATATCTATATCTATATCTATATCTATATCTATATATATATATATATTTGTTATTATGGATACAGTTGAAATGAAAACGACAAATCAAGCAACTTACTCCCTGACAATTTGTCAAATAACAGCAGAAACGGCCACTAAATTCTGTTTCTTACCACAGGGCAGTTGCTCCAAGGTCCCCAGGGCGCCATGACACAGTCATTGGGGCATGCCAGATAGCAGACCTGGGCTCTCGGTGGCATTTCCTCTTGATCACACAGACTATCCTTCACAGTGCTGTCTTCCCCATTCCCCGTTGTTCCTTTCTTTACACACCTATGAGCGCAGCAGATGCAGCTGTGTAATAAGTCTCTAGGGCCCCAGAAGCACAACTTTTTTTTTGAGTTTTAAAACCCATTTCTGAGTTTATGACTCACACTAGATTACATGTTTTTTTGGGTCAGGTAAAATTCTCAAGGTAGTTTGTTTTCACTCGAAATATAACTACAGATTTTTTCCTCGTTAAAACGGCTTAATTACATTTCAGGAAGAGTAACATATTGTTTGTCAAGATGATATGGAATTGTTGTCCTGCAGCAGAGAGAAAAGATTCCCAGCTGGATGGTTGGCTTCAGTCGGATCTCCTGCTTAAACAAGTCTTTACTAGTGTGAGGTCATTATTTGTATCTCTCAGAAGTGGGTGAATTCATGATAACTGATGAACCAGTGACTGTTACCTAGTTTTACTCGCATAGAAGTAATGATTATCTAACTTTTAAGTAATTTATTCAATAATGAACTCTAATAGCTCATCATTATCTGTTATTAGTAGTCTTTTTTCATTCTTTAAAGGAGTAACAGTTAATCATGTAATAGATCATTTTTGTTACCCTGGTCATTCATTTTACAGTAAGTACTGATATTTTTACATCATCATTGTACATTTATCTAATATGATAAATGTACAAACCTTAAACATTCAATAATTATAGGTAAGGGAATTTAGAACACTTACATACAAAGTACAAACAAAATTTTGCTGACTATTCTCAGAAGAAGAGAATGTACATAAGGTATTGTAAAAACTCTTCTTTTTGAGTGGTTGATTAGCGCAAATTAGTTTCTGTTACTCACACTGAACAAGTCCAAATCAGTTTCTTTGGACACAATAACACAATTGCCCAAATCAGTGTCTATTCTCTCCGACGATGCTTAATCCAACAGCAATGTCAATACTTCACTCTTTTTCTCTGTGGCTTTTTAAAGTAGCACTAAAAGGCAGTGCACAAAAATCTATCGACACTCATTAGGAAGCTGTGGATTGTTTTTGACTGTTTATTTTCCCTTGGCATTGCGAGTGCTGGGACCAGTGAGAGTGCCAGATTTAGGACCGTTGCCAGTCTGCTCTTTCCATTGTTGCAACGCTAGGCAAGCAGTCTTCTAAACCTAACCTACTCACTGACCTGATCTTGCGGCTTTGGACTCCCTCCCCACAGGCAGGCAGGTCGTCCACAGTGTTGATGGTACAAATGGACCAGGGCTCGGCCCTCCACTCGTATTGGCTGCATTCACTGTAGCATGGCAGAGCCTCATACACCTGTATGTACATACACACACATACACAGGAGGAAAAGGACACGTATAATAAACAATAGAAGGAAAGCACCTAAGCATGTGACCTGAAAAACTAGACATGCATACAAATGAACTCATACACACAGTGACCCCACCTGCCCTCCACACACAAGCATGCTACAAAAGGAAGAGTTGGTTGTTACAATTATAGCAAAAATGTAGGAACACTTTTAGTTTTCACACCTAATGAGGTGTCTCTGTAGCAGAAACAGTATCTCACCTGGGTTTTCCTTTGGTAAAGATAGAAAAACACACCGCTTTGAGCTTTCAGGCTTAATTTCTTACATGTGGTAGCATTTACCTTCATGTTTTGTTTATTTTTACCATCAAGCACTTGTGTATTCTTGAGATGTTTTGAAGTCTGCGCCTGAGTTTTATGCCAGTCGATGTTCTTTATATTTTAGAGCATAAATGAGGCTTAAACATAATTAAAAGTTGACAAAATAATACAAATTGTGAGGACAGTCAGAGTAGCTAGAGAAAATGAAGGCTGTACTACAGAGAGGTGCTGAAAGACGTTTTATATACAGCTATAGATGAAAAGTCTTTTTTCCACACTAAAATAAACCTGCGCGTGAAATGGAGAGAACAGCATGGGGTGCGTAAAACGACAATGAGCATGGCAACGGGCCCTTCAGCTGATGATGTAATTGGCTCGCTTTTGAGGCTATTCACTTTTCTCCACTCAGCCACTGAATCTGGCATGTCTGTTGAACCAAGGGAGCAGCCAGCACAATGCTCCTGTAAACACATGTTTACTCTCAATCTATGTAACTGTCTGCCACAGTTAAAGGTGCACTCTTGAGGACAATTTGTGGAGAAAGCTATGACAAGCTGTAATGGGTGTCACCGTGGTGTGTGCGCTCGCGAGTGTGTGTGTGCTGAAATAGAGACAGGGAATGATTCTCGAGTATTCCCTCCCCTGCGGGCCACACAGATGCCTATTACACACGTCATCATCTCCCATCTGTCCCTGCAGATGCCCCTAGCTTGGTAAACTGGCAACTGTTCTTCTCACACATGCTCCGCTACTACTGCAGAAACACAGCACCAGCTGAAGGGCTAATTTTTATCACCCGAAGAGTGATTTTTAAGCCATTTTCCTCAATTGCTACACTATTTATTCATCACTGATCCCAAACTTTTCAACCCGGGCTGGAGCGTCTCAGTTCAGGTTCACACAGGGAGTAAATTGCAGTTTAAAGCAGGTGCAGCGCAACAAAGAATAGGAACAGCCTCGCCTTTTTAGAGCGTATCGCTCATTCATATACATTCATACAGCACTCTGTTCTTTACTTCCCCCCCCCACATGATTTCACACCAATGGCTAATTTAGAGTCAGTCAATAACTTTACATGTATGTCTTTGGACTGTGGGAAGATGCTATAGTACCAATAGGAAACCCACAGAGGAACAGAAAGAACATGTAAACTCCACACACACAGGCCCCAGACGACCGTGGGATTCAAACCAATCACTCTTGATATGAGGCTCCAATGCAAACCACTCCACCTTTCGAGTACAACTTTTGTCACACACACTTCATTACAGACGAAAGACAAACAGGCGGCTCTTTTATTTCTTTTAAAAGACTCCTAAAATCATTTTTTAAAGATTAACAATACAATAATATCATCTGACTCAATTTCTTTTTAGAACACTTTAAAAAAACTGTTCACGATATAATGAAGCCCTGACATCTTGGCAGTGTGAATTTCTCCAGTTAAAAAGCAGATGATGTATCCTCTAAATGCACTTCGGATAAATTACTTCTGTTCGTGTTGTACTCGCACCAATCAAACTATTGTTCTTTCTCTCGGCCGAAGGGCTAGAAAGGTCAGAAGTATATGTGACTTGGACAGATCCGGCATGCATTCTGTCTTCATTAGCTAAAGCAGAGTATACGTACAGAATGAATAGCACTGACCTGAGCCTGCGTGGATGTCCATATTAGCAGTGCATGACAAGCCAGAAGTTGGGGCAGGGGAGAGAAGAACAATGATATGATCATTAGTATAGATTTTGCCTGCAGTGACAGAAATGTATAGTTCTGCGTAAATTTGAAAAACTGCATTCTCCTCGGTGTTTCATTAATGAGGGTAAAGGATGATTAGGTACTTTATCATCTACAGTGAATCTAGGCGTCCCGGATAGTTTGCCAAACTGAATGACTAAAAATGCTGAGAGAGTTTTTAAAATGCTGCAGTTGGTTGTAACAGCTGTGCTCTGGCCAGACCTGCAGCTGAAGGCAACTCCAAGGAATTAATTTGTCTGGAAATGGTGAGCGGGAAGTCCGCGTGAATAAGCATATGCTCAGAGAGGCTGTGTGCTCTGTATCTAAACAAGGTTACTGAATATAAAGTGTTATCTCACTGACAAGTTTCTGTTTGGGTAATTCTGAATGAGTTTAATTAAAACATTCAAATAAAATACACAGCTTTAGATTTAAACATATAGTATATTCATTCAAAATGAATATTTACTAGACTTGTAATGCTTTTTTAAGCCAAATGATTCTTGAGATGGCAAATGTACCACTGCACAGTCATGGTACAAAGATTATATATTGTACCTTCTTTCAGTTATATGGCTTTAAATATTAAAAACAAATAACAGAAGTTGGTTGATCAGACAAGGTCTTAAAATTTGGTAAAAGCAACCTCAAATGAAGAGCAACATATGTCATATTACGCAGTGTCATTACTTATTAAACAAAAACTAAAATGCAATGTCTGAAAAACGATGTACACCCTTACTGCTTCCATTGGAAGAAGGTAAGAAGTAGTCAGATGTTGTTAATCAAATGCACTTGATTACTTGACAATCAGCCCACGCAAACACGTCTATATAAGCGGACATTTAGCACTTTGCTGGTCTGAAGCATTCAGGTGTGTGTTAACACCGTGCCGAGGAGGAAAGACATCAGCAATAATCTTAAAGAAGCATTTGCTGCTGCCCATCAATTTGAGAACTGTTGTAAAGACATTTAAACAATTTCTCCATCCTCCCACAGTGGCAAAGACAACTCATAAGTAGAAAACATTCAAGACAGCTGCCAGACTTCCTAGGAGTGGATGTCCCACTAAGTCCACTTCAAGTCAGGCTATGTGCCATAAAAGCAGAAATTGTGGCAATTTGCTGCCCTGGGGCATTCAGATGTGCCATAACACAATGCCACAATCTTTCCAGGAATCTCAAATTCACCGAAAGGTCAGACTGTGAAATGTTGAGAGGAACCGCAAAAAACCAAAGCGCTACATCTCACACTGTAGAGGCCTCAGTCAGCATTAAATGTCCATGACAGTACAATTATAAAAAGACTGAAAAAGTAGGGCTTGTTTGTGAGTGTTGTCATGAGAAATCCTCTTTTCTCTAAAAAGAACAAGGCTTAGCTTTGCAAAGTTGCATCAGAACAAACCACAAGGCTTCTGGAATAATGTCTTTAGCCATTATGCACACAGCATCGCAACATAAAACACCCCATACTAGCCGTCAAGCACAGTGGTGAAGGCGTGACATTTGGTCATGTTTTGCAGCCACAGAACCTGAGCACGTTGCGTTCATTGACCCAACCATGATCTCCTCTTATATCAAAGTATTCTATTCTACAGTCAAATGAGAGCTTATCTGTATGACAGCTAAGTCTTGGCTGGGTTATGTAACAGGACAATGATCCCAAGCATACCACCAAATCCACAACAGAATGACTGAAAAACAAATTAATCAAGGTCTTGCAGTAGCTCAGTCAAAGTCCAGACCTCAACTTCATAGAAATGCTGTTGTGGAACCTTGAGCTATGCAAAAATGAAAGCCCACAAGCCTCAATGAACTGAAAGAAAGGTATAAAGAAGAATGGGCCAAAATGTGAGAAATTGACAAAATCACAGAAAATGACTACATCCTATTGCTGCTAAAGGTTCTTCTAAAAGCTACTGCATCATAGGGTGCACTTAGATTGTTTTTCTTTTGGTAAATAAGTAAACAAAAGATAGAAACTGTTGTGTGTTATTTTATACCTGAGGTGTTTTAGAAGCTCTTAAGGCTCAGAAGGGCTCTTTCCCCCCCGATTATCATATCACCATACGTAAAACCTTGGAATTGAAAAAGGTTTAATTTCTTTTGACTGTATATTCTTGTGCTGATAAATCCCCATTAATGCCAATGCAGCAAGTTTTTCCTTGTCATTTTGAATCATTCTTTCATTTATGCCTTTTTCCCACTTGAATTGCATCAGAATAAGTAAAAATATTTAGCAGTGAATATAAAGTCCCATATTTACAGAGGAAAAAACAATCTACTTGCAAGACATGGAAATAAAACTCCATGGCGTCGCTAGATGCTAATTTGTACATGGCTCCTGCCCAAAAAACAAATACACACATACCTACTGTACTCTAGAAGTTTACCCAGTGATGCGCAAGTGCACATAAAAAGACAACACACCTATACACAATCAGATAGATAAAAGACCAACACAAAAGGACTTGAAGCACCAGCAGGCCCTTCTGCAGGGATGGCATTTTATTGTAAACAGAGAGAAAATGGAACACGAAGCCTTGATGCTGAGCAATCTATTCTATAAATCTCTTTCATAGTGTCACTGTGTGCCTCCAACTTCAAATAGACTCTGCAATTATTGTCAGTAGGCCCATGGATGAGCTAAAAAACAATGGCACCACTGAGAAACACAGTAGGATCTATTCTGGGGTGATGATGACCTCTAAAATACACTCATGAGATGATAACTTAAAATGTGCCAAAATACAGTATAATAGAGCCTTGCTTTTGAGGACGTCAATTTGGGATTTTTCAGAAGAGAAATACAACACTGCTGAATGAAAATACAAACAAACTGATTTAAGATGACAGAAGATGAAGCTGGGATAGGAAAAGAACAGAACCAGAGGTGGCAAAAGTACAGACTTCTTGTACTTAAGTAGATACCTGGTTAAAAAATATTGCAGTAATAGTTGCAGTGCTGAAGCAAGTTTTTTACTCAAGTTAAAGGAGAAAAGTACAGGCTGTTAAATGTACTCAAAGAAAGTAAAAAGTTACTCTTTGAAGTATGATTCTACTAACTATTTTTGTGCAAAGGCAACAGAACCTTGTGCTATTTAAATAAATAACTAGTTTCTGTTGTCTACATTAACTCAACACCTAAACAGTAAAATGAGTCAGGAGATACCGGGGGATTCAGCAAGTGAGCTTCAGTAGGTTTTCTTATGTGATCTGCAGACCTGCTGCTCTTCGTGGATTTACACAACTGAATTCAACAAGATGTCAGTACTTTCACAAGCTATGGTGGCTGATGTTGATCCCCTAACATTGACACTATGCTGTTTATACTGGTTTTACACCAGACAGACTTATAACACTTTAATAAATTAATAGATAGATTAATAAACTGAATTCCAAATTTATACTGAGTCACAGCCTTTCTGTGAATGTACTCTTTCAACACGCTATACTGTATAGCCATGTATAGTAGCCACAATAGAAGAGCATTGTTTAAGCATTGTTTAAACCACTGTAGTTGTTTTATGTTGCGAGCATCACAAAAGCACATGGCCGACAGAGACCTGACCGTAGCTGCACTTAATTTTAACAGTTGGTCATTGACCATTGAGTTGGTTCTTATTATCCTCACCCTCTCTCTCTCTCTCTCTCTCTCTCTCTCTCTCTCATAACTGTCTTCCAATTAGTTTTCTTACTATCAAACACTTTCATGAACCAAAGCCCTTACAAGATTTACAGTCTGTCTAACATCCCCTTTGGACCCACTGCTGTGTTGGCTCTACTGCAGGGCAACGCCGTGACTTTCTGTAATTACACAAATTGATTGGCAATCATGCTTTGAAATAATCTCCTTTTCTCATTTATTTTGTAATCTATTACAAGAACCTAGCTCACCAAGACAGGAATACATTAGCAGAGACATTTTGCAAGTACTTAACCTTGCACCATAATAATAGATGTGGTCAAATATCTTTTTCCACATACAAGAGCCTCAGCATCCGCCCTTGTCTTTTGCAATTTATATCACTAATGTATGTGAAGAAATTCTGTTTCAAATAAAAGAGTCCAACTGTAAACACTTCTGAAGCCATACAGTGAGCTAAAAAGGACAAGTTCACACTGACTGTGGTGTTTAACCTTATCTATAACTTCTGCATATTTACAAAACTAGGAATATGTCTAAAAATTCACGTGATATGAGAATATGTGTATGTATATGGGAAATTTGACAAATAATTTGCAGACAGTAACCAAAACAGATGTGCATAAGCACCAGTCTCAGAGATCCCATGTGGGAGCAATGGCCATTTTTTCAGGATTTGTGGTCTGGCCAGCTGATGTCAGAACAAAGACCCATCCCTGTTTGGTCTGGCGGTTGTGGCATACAAATTTTTAAAAAGAGGTTGGTCAGTGGTTTTGAGGTTTCATTCCATTAACTAACAAAGGAACTACAAAAAGAAAACAATTCATTATTTATTATTATCTTTTCTCTATAACTTGCTTTGGACATGACAGCGGTTCTACCATGAGCTTCTTGTTCACTGCTGCATTTCCATTGCTTATAACACAAAAAACTTGCCACATAATTCCCATGCTCCGTTGTTGTGTACGCAGCTGAAATGCCATGGATGATTCCAGGATGTGTGAGGGTAGTGGCTGGCTTCTGAAAAACATGACCTTTCTGCAGTATTTCCCATAAATATTGTTATTTCCTTCTATGTGAACTTTTCTTCTTCCACTTTCACCCATTAGTCACAAAAATACTACATCAAATAACAGTGCAAGAAAATAATTTATCTCACTACTGGGCATATTCCTCACAGTTTTGAAATGTTTATTAGTGCAAAATGGCTTTAGGAAGCTCAAAGAAACACACTGGAGGTGTGACAATGTGACAGCAACACCCTGTGAAGCTAA